TCAAATGGTGGGTCATGGCGTTGGGGTTTTAATTAAACATCTTGCTCACTGATTCATGATCTATATGACTTATGGTTCAAGTTAATCCATCACAACTTCACAATGCAAAATTCAGCACCGGATCGTACAGCTGGATCAAATACGAAGTCAATATATTGTTTAGCATAAATCCACCCCTCAAAAGTACATTAAAATCTTTATGTCCGTTATCTCTTTTCTTAAACCACATACGAATCTCCGTCTAAACGACCATATCCAAAAATGTATTGCGGTAATTGCAGGTACATTGATTTTCCCACAAAAGTCACAAGATAGGTTCCGCATAATAACAGGAGGTTTCATCAGGAAATATATCAACAGTAGATCTAAATTCTCAAAAGTACAGTAAGATCTTTATGTCCGTTATCTCTTTTCTTAAACCACATATGAATCTCCATCTAAACGACCATATCCAAAAATGTATTGCGGTAATTGCAGGTACATTGATTTTCTCTCAAAAGTCACAAGATATGTTCCGCATAATAACAGGAGGTTTCATCAGGAAATATATCAACATCAGATCTAAATTCTCTGACTTTTATTGAATTTGAAGAATGGAAAAGGCTGGATACAATGTAAACCATAGTTAAACAAGCTTTATTTACACTCAAAAACAAAAGTGTGTGTGTGATGGACAAAGGATAGTAGCTTTACTGGAAAGAACTTCTATATTAAATACGTTGTTTTTCTCGATATGTAGTTCTATAATCTCTAAATTTGTTCCAGAATGAGAAAAGACGAAACAACAATATTAGTCTTCTCAGGGTTCATGCACTACCCATGTGACCATTGACCATTCCTATTAAAAGATGAGAGAGGTTATATTCTCGAGATGTCACAGACAACTAGTGGAAAAAAATCATAGCATATTTTCAGACAGTATGTGCAACTTTATAGGAATCCTTCTCACTGGAAGACGAAGATAATACCTTAGATCAGCGTTTTCCATACTTTATTGGCCACTGAACACTTTTCGGCTGAGAAAAAGCTTACGGAACACTAGACACGTGAAATATCGGTGTAGAAAGTATGTTGCCTGCGCAGCGCCTTCTAGATGTGTGTATATTATTCATTTATTTATTCAATCAAATTACATATTAATGAATTTTTACATTTTTATGCTTATAATATGTTTTAGGTACAAACCTCTCCACTAAGATATTATGTAGAATAGATATGGCATCTTCTATAATTCTTCTTCAATGTGAAATTGATATTATTTAATCATAATACATAGGAAAATATATCATAATAAGTTATGATCGGACAAAAAGTGTTAAATATTTTATTAAATTTAAAATCATGATTTTCTCACGGAGCACCTATCAATCTCGGACGGAACACCAGTGTTCCGCTGAACATAGTTTGGGAAACGCTGGTTTAGATGAATCACTAAAATAAAAGGTAGCTAAATTTAGTAAAAGGAATTTAGTGACTTTCTTGACCGAAATTATATCTTAAAACTGACTACACCTGAATAAAGATGCAAATGGTATACTTTTTCAGGGGTGGTTCGTATGTATAAAATCTGTCAAAACAAACATGCACAAAAGACCACGATTTGTGGAATTATATTCACACGAATTCTCCAGACCATATTGTGGCTTCTTTACTAATTGATTTAGTTGTAATGTGTATAATGTACATAAGGTCTGTAATGTTTTGGATTTTTTAACTGGGGCCAAGCATGACACATTGGTTAGCGTGCTGCATTGTTCATCCAAGGTTCTGTAGTTCACATTCCGTTATCACACAAAATATTGCTCCATTTTTTTGGGCCATGGGTGTATTATAAAAGTGATGGTCAAATCCCATTCCACTACTTAATATGAGTATCCCACGAGCTGATGGTGGGTGATGTTGACTAGCTCCTTCTCTCTAGTATATCACTTCAAACTTTGGTATGTCTAGCACGCATAACCCTCGAGTAGCTTTGCGTGAACTTCAACAAACAGCATATTTTCTAAATGTAACTGTGTTTGAGTATAAAACTACGGAACCTGTGTTGGATATTTTGTAAACAGCAAACAGTACTTGAAACATTTAAAGTCTATATTGCAATTCAAACTGATAGTATACATTTACGATTTGATTTGCTGATATTGAGATGGTAAGTATATAAATATATGGTCCAGGTGATGCCCAGGGGTGTGTGTGTGTGTGTGTATGCCCAGAGTGACTGAATAGGTAGCAATGATCTGCTAATGAGTCTGTCTAGGAATATAAATACAACTTTAGATAAATGATTTATAAATAGAAGAATGAACAGACTGTCCATATCATAAAATGTGTTTTCAGTATACTTGATAAGTGACAAAACTGTGAACAGATGTTAATGCAATCAATTATATGTTGCACAAAATAAGTTATAATAAATTCATCTGAAATTCAGAACACTTCATCATAAATTATATTCAGCTATATTTAATTTCAGTTTATTGTGGGTAGACATGACATTCATGAGGAATGAAGACTAGCTAGCATAGTTTGACTAAAGTATAGTGAAAACATCTCTGAAGCAGTAATCAGATTTCACATTTCAAATTAAAAGTAACCTCAAACAACTATTTAATGTGAATATTATGGATTACCATGCAGTTATATATGTAGAGTTTTACTTTTAAGGAAGGTAATAATATTTTTCAGGACTGGTGTGTAAGACTCTCAGTGGCATAACATGTTGAATACCATTCAGGCTAGTTGGTGGATGGCACGAAAGTTTAAAGCCTTTGTGGCTGGAAGCAAGAACAAACCATCTTGCCTTAATAACCCGATTTTGACAGTAACGAAGCAAATCACAAACTAAGCATAGTAGGTAAGCTGTGATAACTTAAAGGTTTACGATTTGTGCAACATAACGTCAGTAACCAAGTATACAAAATACCGAGTAGATGAGGTTCAGAGACGATTGTTAATTGATATTGACTTTTCAGTAGTTGATCAACTTGATGGTAAAAAGTTTTTGTTTTTTATTACACTGCCACAATTTAGGCCTACGTTGATGCAACCTAAGCTCGAACTTGCATGTGAACTTAACAGTTACATAGACTCTTAGTTTGATATGTAAATGTTTTATACCTGCTTTTATTAATATAGAAATTCTTTACAGTTTTTTTAGTCTATTTCTATGCATTTTCGACATAAAAACGTGGTCCAGAAAAACCCATTGAAATTACTTAATTCTAGCTACTTTTATGTCTCTGTTCTCCATAGCCGATAATATCTTCTTTGCCTGACGGAGGTATTATAGTATATCTGTGTTGAAAGGGTCAGTGACAGAAACATCCGTTACTGGTTGAGTGGATGATGCTCTACGTTTCAGCTGACAAATGTTGTAGAAGAATGACCAGTGACGTGATGATGCCATCAAAAAAGAAAGGAAACAGCTTTCATGGAAATCTTTATTCTCTCCCAGTTTTACTTAGTGTTCAAAGTGAATAATTCCATAGAGATCTATCGTGAGAGAAAGTAAGTTGCAGGTCTATTAACTGACCCAGTAGAGGTGGTCATCCTCTTGTCTACGCAAGTTGTGTTCGTAATTTCTCGTTCAACTTAAAACTGGATCGCGTTTTCAAATTCAGAACTGTATAAAAATTTTCTGTTCGATCCTCCTGCTATTAAGCGGACCTGTCTAATACTTGGGCTGAAATCAGTTTATTTGAGAATACCGCACTAGTAAGATTTCATTTTTGTCTTGAAGCATGCTTTAGAAATACTGTAATGGTCATCGACTCTGCTGTCTGTAAACTTTGATCACCAAAACACACAAAATCTCTGCTTATTAATTAAAGGGACTTTAAATTGATGAACATTGCATTGGGCAGATAGCATACGATTCAAAATCACATTAAAAACCCCTATGATATATCATTATTTACCCTGCTAATGTGCAAACTGTATTAAAATAATTTGGTTCCTAAGCTGACATTTAACATGATAAAGATCTACTTTGATCCACAGCCCCACATGTTAACCACTAGTCCACATCTAGCTTCTACAGTTCATTAATCACTAAGATGTAAAATATCACGCATTACCGTCAAATACATAAATATATACACTAGGTAAGGAAGTAGAATTTTGTGACCAGATTCCAAAGCGTATAATTTTTCGTTTTTCGTACTAAAATATTCATAATTTGGAAGGAGTTTCAACACAGGACTTTTAGTTTTGATAAAGATCGCACATGTTGATTATTTGTGTTTAATTACTGACATTAAATTTACGAAGTTTTGTTACTACACTGATACTAAAGACCAATTAAACTGCCTTGGCACGTAATTATAAATTTTTTTTCTAAGACACAACATTTTTCATGCGTTTTTAACAGTGTATTTCCGGAAGGTCGACTGTGGGTCAAGTAACCAAATTCCTTTGTTTTGTTTTCGGTTAACTGTTATAAAGACCGCGGCTTATGTATCGTTTCACTGTGCACCTGTGCACTTACATATATTATCATTGGTGTTGCAGTTCATAATCCATGTGTCGAGCTTGGTTTTGCTTTTTTTTAAAAAAAAAGGAGCAAAATATAAATCTTATTACTTTATGTGTATAAATTGTTGCCCATTAGTTAAGTTGAGTTTATGTGTATAAATTGTTGCCCGTTAGTTAAGTTGAGTAAAGTACTGAGACAGTTTGAAGCTCAATCTATTCAGATTTTGAAATCAAAATATAACCTAATTTTCCGATTCAGAATAATCTAATAAATATTAAATATTTCTGTATTTAGTTATGTCATATAATTTGTTTTTGTTCCAACGACGCCGTTATCACGAGTGTTAAAATCTCCTTTTCTTTGTCCTACGCTTTGGGTCACTTGAATGTAAGCAATTACGATTTTCCTTTTTCCTTTCGAAAATTCAATGAAATTTGCTTCCGTTGCTTGTATGGTGCTTCCCTCTGTAAACTGTTCGACCTGCCCTCTTACGAAAGCATCTGAAAACGTAGGTTTGATCAAGATTTCCTATTAAGCTAGCGACAAAACGGGATGCCGTGGCTGAAGGTTTAGTGAGATAAATGTACGTTTTTTTTATGAATTGTAGCACATATGGGTGTTTTGGTAGATGAAAACAAATCTGTATTTATCAGTAAATCAAGTTTGATGCATTAAAAACAGATTCAAAGATTGCGTGATAACGTCACAGATTAACGTCAACGGATGAAGCTTAGTTACGTACGATTCTTCTCCAGTCAGATCGAGCCTCATCTCATGAAAACTCGTTTGTGAATTACGAATTGCAGTGCAAAGCGAAGTGTGATACGGAGACTAGAGTAAAGAGATTCATCAGTTTAATTTTTTTATCAATGTAGTAAGCGGATATATTTGGTTAAAACAAGGTAGGACATTTTGTTATTTTTCGACGTTAAATTTCCATATTTATTATTCTTTCTGTTATCGTTTTGTGTCAATAAGTTTAATATTAAAGCTTTGTGTCAATAAGTTTAATATTAAAGCTTTGTGTCAATAAGTTTAATATTAAAGCTTTGTGTCAATAAGTCTAATATTAAAGCTTGTCTAAATTAAGCTAAATAGTCGATTTACAGTTTGTGATTTCCATGAATGCTTATACTTTTTTTTTTAGCTTTGTTTGTTCGTTTAAGCGTAAAATTGCACAAGAGGCTAAGCGTTATACGTTCTCAAGCTTACCGCTGAGCCACTGGAAACGATTTTTTTTCTTTTCTTTTACGAAAAGAATGGTAAAATCGTAAACGCATTTATGTTTTTGTACGCCCATTTTATTCTAAGAGGACGCAGATCCCTTTGTTCTAGAGCAACCCACCTCTGGATTCAGGAGTAAAATTACCGACCTTTATCGCTCAAAACTTGAAACTATTCAACTTAAGTATAAAACTGTTGGTTTCAGTTTAATATCATTTTGTTTTTATGTTGCTTTTATACTCATTGTGCTTACTCAGTGGCTTTAATTCTTACATTCTATAACAGACTATAATAGCTTTGTGATAGTACTTCTTGCTATTTATAATATCTATCAATGATAACGTGCTACTATAAAAAAATAACACAGACAGCTTTACATTTATTAATAATAATAATAATAAAAATAAAAAAATTATTAAGCAAGCAATAACATTTATATTTAAAGCCAGAAAAATCAATAGATTGCTATTAGTAACTATTTTTGTCTTCAATCGTCATTGGTGGCGTACAAAACTGTAACTAGGGCGGGGCAGCCGCCCCGGGCTTAGAGTGGTAAGGGACGGCAAGATGGCTTGCTGTCCTGGGCGCTAAATTGCCTACTTACTGCTCTGAGGGCGTGAAACTGTATTTTGTGATTTCATTTTCTAACGAAAGTAGTTGAATGTATGCAATGATTGCAGTTGTATGATAAAGAAATACGGATGAGTCAAGTTTATTAGTAAAGCTGTATATTGGTTATTGTTTGAGGTAATAAATGATTCCAATTTCTTCTGTATGGTCAAAGTAACCAGAATAAAGGGAAGGCACTTGCTACGACCAGTCAATGGACGTGTACAGAGAGCGTAAGAAAACCAAATGGCAGAGGCGAAAATATTTGATGATAGATAGATAGACGGGAAGATAGAAAGATCGATCTTTCCGAGCATACGTAAAGGTCGTGGAAAAATATAAATCTAGTTGGAGCTGATCTTGGTTGACTGCATTGCAATTGAAACGCTTTTTTCTATTTAAGAGAATATCGAAATCTAATGAAAACAAGTAAGAAAATGAGAGATAATATTCTTGTTTTTTTTTCATATCAAATATCTTAGGTTTGATCATATGTGTATTCATTTGTATATGTGTGTATAGGACGAGAAAAATCTGTTGTTTGTTATTAAGCACTAAGCTACACAAAGGGCTACCTGTGCTCTGCCTACCACGGGTATCGAAACCCAGTTTCTAGCCGTATAAGTCCACAGACATACCGCTGTGCCATTGAAGGGCTGAGAAAAAGCACCTACACGATAAATACTGAACTTTGACCTTGGCTTGGCAACAGTGTTCGAAGCACATTTCCAATAAAGCTTAGAAAAAACAATGCAAATAATACCTAAAACAAACAACATATTTTTTTATTATTTCCTTGGCGAATGTCTTAATATAGAGGGCTACGACATTAGAAATAAATTACCATTTTCACATACATACAGACGTACGCGGTTGAATATTAGGTGTCTGTTTGTTGATGGCAATATGTGAAAATGCTTCATAAAGATAACGTCGAGAACACGTTTTAGTTATATGCTACATCCCTTCCATAGCTTGATATGCTTGTAAACACGTGTTTCTCACCCAAAACCAGAGATATGCTCTGCGTCTCTCATCCCAGTTTCGACCACTAGAGTTGTCACTACTATCATGATATTCATTCCCCAAGTGCTGCTGTAATAGTCATATTCGCGCGCGTGTAAACAGGACTTAGAATCTCGTTGTTGGGAAATGTTAGTTACACCTGCTCTCTCTCAGCAACGAAGAAACCTGTCAGAATCTAAAAAAAAAAAAAAAAAA